TGAATAGAAGGAATCTCTGAGGACATCCTGTCTTACCTGTTTAGCAGGAAAAGTGGTGATATTTGAAATTTCAGTATATGCTCAATCTAGGCTAGTACAAAACCAAACCAGTTCAGTTCACATTAGCTCTCTTAACTTAAACCTAGTTCTTGAGTCTGGCATCATAGGGTGTTAGACTGCTTGCATGAGTGCAGGATTGGGCTCTGTTCTCAAGATACCCAGTCTGACAGGTCTTTACAAAACCTGGAGTTTAAGGGAAACAACAGCTCCCCTGCCTAAACACAGCTGCTCCTTCTGCAAGTCTAAATGGTAAAGAGAAAATATCCTTCCCATACAGCAGTAAAAGGAACAGAGAGCTCCAGGGGAGCAATGGGGAGGTGCAAGACACTGCTTCCCCCTTGTGTCCCCCCCGAGTCCCAATGCTGTTTCCCCCGCACATCTGCCCCCTGGTCCCAGCATTGCTTCCCCTCATGTTTACCCCCCCAGTTCCGGCGCTGCTTACTCCCACACTTGGGCACAGGACATCGCTCCAAGTCAGTGCTGCTAAGCCAGGCTGCAATCCCAAGCTCCACGTCCCCTGCTTCCAAACACCTATCGCCCACTCCCTGAATCCCAGGTCTGACCCCTGTGCCCCTGCCAGCCCAAGGCTGGCACCTGGGGGAGCTTGGAGCTCCCCCTGGCTGCTTTAAGGGGGCAGAGCAGGGCAGAGGGGCAGGAGCGGCTCTGGACTGAACTGCTCCCATTGGGAGCAAATTTGCCCTTGACAGGGTCACATGTTTAGACATGTGCCTGGGAGCACTTTAATGAGCATTAATTGCACGTGTAGCTGCACCCTCTCTCTCCATCCCTACAACGACCCTTGTGCACCTTCTGTGCCAACGCTCTGTGTGAGCCATTTTGTGGGGAGCCAACAGAGAAAGTGCACTGGGAAAATTCTTCTCTAGCCCTTGGAAGCTGGAACTGGAAGCTGGGCATTAGCGCACCAGATATAAAGTGTCTGGTCCATGAAACTAAAGGGCTGCGTGCATTCATCACAGTTCTCTGTGCCTTCCCATGAAGCCTAAGTTGTATCTTTTGTTTTTGTCAGTGCAATTATTCCTTGATGTGCTGTACTTCTTTGAGTAGATAATCTCCAATCATTCAAGTGTCTCTCCTGAACGAAAGCATGAATTTTCCTTCCCTTGCTCCCTCATAAAGAAACTGACTGCATCTTTCTCATCATTAAAATGTTGCACTAGGAAGTAGCCCTTGCTAACTGTTTGGCAGGGTTCCAGCCTGCTTGTGGTCAGCTTTTTCATTTGACAGCTAGCACAGTGTTGTTGTGTCTGTTCAAATCTGTGTCGTTTATCACATGACCTGATTGATCTAAATATTCTCAGCAGCAATGTCCAAGCTTCACAGC